ATTTCACTTCAAGAGTAATATTAATCACTTTACACTGATGGGAGTTTATTTGTATGTAATAATTTAGCTTATTCTATTGAGTGTTTCAAGTGTGACACACTGAATTAGTAAAAAACCCCCGAACTCCAAACCCAGAATTGTTAAAAGCTGCCGGTAAATATGTTCAGCTTTACCAATCTGGAAAATGAAGAGCATGAATATGTCTGCCTCTCATTTTTAAAGGAGTTTTGTAAGCCGAAGCCAGCAATACTCAAGTTTTGACTTCACTTTATGCTTACAAATCAGACAGTAATACTTTCTTCTTGAAAATTATTCAACATTTGAGAAAAACCAGCTAACTGGGCAAGAATTTAAACACCTCTAAGTATTTTTCACAATAGCATCCTTAATGACAAATACTTTTATGGCCAGAACTGAACTATATTAAACAGAACATAAATAAGACTGTAAATAAATAAAAGAAAAATCATAAAGTAGACCTCTAAACATCATCCTACAAACATATACCTTATATAATCAAATTGAGAAGTTGAAACTGTCAACATTAATTTTACCTCTACATTAAATAATTCCAGATTTTTTTAAATTGACCTTTCAAACATGAATATTATCTCAAACCCATGACACAAAAAACAAATGGGGCATTCATAAAGGGTGTTCATCTTGCTCAGAATAGCATGTTTGGCTTTGTATTTCAGTGAACTGATGTAGCTGTGCATAAGAAAACCCTTGGGTGTTACACAGACCTGTCATTACAGAATTGTCACTTTGAATCTAAGACAGCTGCTACTGTATTTGGTTATATTGTTTCCATTTGCTCATCAAGTAATTACATTATTTCTGAAAGATGAAGGTCATGCAATGTGATTTGTTGCTTAGGGAAGAATACTGTAGCCAGTGAATGAAATACATCTGAGTGCAACATACTAAGTAGAAAAAGAAATATTTCTGTTCTCTGCAATATCCACCTACTTACACAGTATCCACAGATGACCCAACTGCTTTACCAAGATAGGGCTGCTTGAACACCTACATCCAATGTTCTGAGCTTCTAATAGAAGGCATCCAAGTTGCCTTCTGATGAAGCAGCCTGCTGGGAAGAAGCATGTAAGCCATATTTGAAACAAGCTGTTCACATCTATTCATTAAACATGTGCACTCCCAACTGCATGCAGGGTCAATTGTGTATTTTAAAAGTTGTTATTTATTGTACCAAAATTCATGCAGACTTCTAGTAAGAAGCTTTTTCAGAAAAGGGTTTACCTTACCAATAGAACTTCTGTTATCTAAGTTAGCATGTCAGAGATTTTTTTTTTCTGGTATAAATACTTTCATGATGCATCTTCAGATCTGTAAACCTAGCACACTCCTTCATGTATTCCTAGCTGGCAATCAGACAGCCCCCTAGGACAAACAATTAACAGAGAAAAACTCTCTGTTTTAAGAGCACAGTGGGTATACTATTCCAATCTCAATGGTGGTATTATGAATTTGATTCATCCTGTTCAGAAAGCAGCTGCCCCTTTTGGTAGTCTCAAGGTAAATTTTTAGGGTTACTTGTCTGCCTTGACTTTCTTACTCTCCCGCAGATGCAAGAAACCTTTTAGTGCAGGTTAAAGTACTGTACATTCACAAAACTAAATTCTGAACTCCGTGTCTTCCTACAAAGTATAAAAAAACAAAACTAGAAGAAATTTATTTTCAGAAACAAAATTACATCGTGGATGATAAATCTAATCAGCAGCTGTTGTGAGGCAGCCTGGATGTTTTGGAAAAGAGCTTGTGGTTAACTTTAAACTATAAAAGTTACACTCTTGTACAAAAGTATTGCATGGCAGAACAGCCATTTTCACAGTCTGCTCACATGAAAGTAATGAAAAGATAAACAATTATCTGTTGAACATAATTTTTCTCAATGCAGTGCAGTTCAACAGGATACATGCTTAGTACTGCCTTTGTGCCTTTGTGCCTTTGTTCCATCTTTACAAAATAAAAACACAGATGCAATACACACAAACTGTACAAAATCAGCATCAGTATACCAAAATTAATCTACTTTGGTTTTCTGTTTGTTGGGGTTTTTTGTCATTTTTTAAGCTTACAACAATTCAGTTCACTGTATTTTACATATAAACATATCAATAGTGAATGTAAAATAGAAGATCTTTGAAAGCACATCACTGGAACTACAAAGCTCATCTGAAAAAAGATGAACAAGTGGAAAAAACACTTCAATGAAAATGTATAATTATACATCATCAGCTGGAAGGGCTGGTATACTGATCTTTGCTCTTGTGAAGTATGCTATCTTCTCCCTGAAATTAGAAAAGAAAAGAAAACAAGGGATTGTTTTTACCACTTGTGGCATGATTCCAATGTCATCTGCTGTAGAGTTGCTACTATTAGGACATAATTCTTTAAAACACATGTTTGGAAAATACAAAGAAAATTTATTTACAACAAATGTGGCATTCTGACAAAATTGTCTTCTTATGCAGATTTATGAAAAAAGCAGTTCCAATTTTGAAAGAGAAAAAATACCAGTATTTCATTAATAACTGCAATGATAAGACTGAAATATTGTTTCAGTCACTGCATTTTCAATGATGATATTTTCAGTAGGGGGATGAGAAGGTAAAATAAATAATTTCATCCTGACATGGGAAAAGGCCAAGTGGGGAACAGTCATGTCTGGGCAACACTCAGAGAAGCAGAATTGTCAACCCATTCTCCAGTTGCTTCCGCTGTGCTGTTACTGTCTCTGTCACCTATGAACCGAGACATTACTGAAGCATAGTGAGTTTACATAGGCTTGCCTAGCAGCAGACTAGAAAGCAGAAGAGAAGTATTGGGGGCTTAAAAATTAAAGCTCAGAAGAGTCATTCTTCTTGAGAGTTTTAAAAATGTCTCTCTGTGATTAGCCTGAGGCCACAGCAGTGTAACAAGTCCAACTAGCAAGACATGCACAATTCAGCCTCCAGAGGTAAGTATGCAGAAGACTAAACCATGTTTTCCACTGGAGAAGCTTGAGTTCCAAAGAAGAACAGTAGCTCAGAGAGCAACATCAACCTAAATTGGCTTTCTCTTCCTAGTTGTGTAGTGACTAGAAAATAAAGAAAAATAGAGCCTTTTGATACCCTGAATGGGGTTTTAAGGCACTATTACACGTTCTTGTAGATTTAGGCAGCAGTCGGTCTGTGATAACTCTTAAATGACCAGAACTGACCAAAACCCTTTCTCAAGACATGCACAAAAAGTGAAATCTTCAGGATGCTCTGAATTTCAAACTGAAGATAAATAACTCAACTGTAACACAGCTGAGGAACCCCTTTTCTTTCTCTCTTGCTTTGATTCTGCATCTATGGTTTGCAATACATGCTGCCTCACAGGCCCCTACCTGCTTATGGATTTCTCCAACTGCTCACAAAAGAAGGTTAAAAAAAAAAGAAGAAAGTCACAGCAGCTGACTTAAATTTCCTATAACGTAATCCAAAATTCAAACTTTAAAAATGTGTGGTAATTGACAAAACAAACCAAAAATAACTTGCAGTACTGTTTCTATGTGTAAGAGCAAGCACTGTATTTTTCCATCAGTAGATGTAGATTTATTTTTATATAGAAGTGTAACCTCCAGGCTGCAAGCCCTGCCACTTAGCGGCCATTCTTTTAGCAATTTAGACCAGTGAGAATTACGGTTTAAGATAAATAGTGTTCATTCTGTCTTATGCTAAGCAAGAACACTTAATTGGTTGTTTCACAACCCAAAAGAGAAGGAAAACAAAACAGAGGAGGGATTCAAGATCTTTCTTAAATACTAAGTCTTGAGCAAGGCACAAGTAGTGGCTAATGAGTTTCCTGATGAGCTGTGTCCTGTCCTGTTTTTCCTTGAGTGGCAATTTGTTTCAGGCCCTTGCCATCATTGGAAGAGCTCCTACGACTTAAAGCTCACTGTCAACCTGCTGCGGGTGAGGTCAGGCACGTGTGTGACTCGTGCCTGCCTACAGCAGATGTCATACAGGGGGTGTGACATTCCACTCAGCTTCCTCACCACCCTCTGAACTGCCACAGAGCAGGTCCCCGAAGCCTGGCCCTCTGAAACTCCAACTTAGAGCCATATTAGAAATCTGTGATGCTTCTGGCAAGTCAAAGCCATGTGGACTTTTTACTAATACTACAGAGCATGTCTGATTATACCTAGAAAAAGTTCATGTTACTTCACTACATAAAAAAGAGCACTAAAAGCAGAACAGGCCATACCTGAATGACTGCACCTGCAGTGGCACTTTCTGGCTCTGCTCCCGTAGCCGGCACACATCCTTAGAAGCTTTCCTCATCAATTTCTCAGCACTTAAACCTTGTTTCTGCTCTTCTTTTGACTGTTCTGCCTGTATCAAGAAAAACAAATGTATTTTGCTGATAAACAACAATTACTTGTTTCAAAGAAGTGAGATGCTTGTGTCAAGGAAAACACTTGGCAGTGTCAGTACTTTTGGGCTCAATGATATTAAAGGTCTTTTCCAGCCTAAATGAATCTATGATAATCCCTATGTAAAAGGTCAGCAAGATAAAAGACTGACATTACAAGAGCCTAAGCCATGACTGCAAAATAAGCTAATGGGGCTTTTCCTAAAAAATAAATAGAGCAAATTCCATGCCTTCACGGGTGGCTACTAGGTTTTGTAAATACTGGTATTTCTTAGAGCTGTAGTTAGACAATACCTAACATTGTATGAACACTTGTCTATCCAAGCATCTTTTTAGAACTGCGAGCCACAGATTCTCTTCCCATATAAAATACTTTTATTTCCTGACAGAAGCTCTCAGGAAAGTTGCCTATACCTACTCTAAAGTGACTGACAGAAAAAATAGGGTAGGTGTGCTCTCAAAATACATTTTCAGGTTTTGTTGACCATGTTAGCAAGGAACATGAACTTCTGTGCCTTTATTCATGACATAGAACCTATTTTGCACGAGACTCACTTCTTTCATTTGCATTGCAGAGGTGTAAAAGCCAAGGCAAGTGAACAGAGCACAAGTGGTAACAGGAGATCAAAGGTTTTGCGTGAGCACTGCTGAGCAGCTCCATACCCCACAGTAAGTGACTGAATTTCTGTACCTCAGTACAGTGCCAGCTCTATTACTTATGTTTCTACGAAGCATCAACAGGACAGCTGCAGTTATGCCATGCACCATTTCAGCAAAAAGCTGCTATGAATAGCTGTGCTTTGGCTTTAAAAACTTTATCAAGGGTTTCTGAATATCCAATAATTTGAACAGTGACTCTTTTTAGATGGGCAGCCACCTGAAATTCTTAGATAAATGATTCCCCTTCACACACAGGTGAGTTCTATAACAAATGCATTGTCACCCACATCACATGTGGGGTTCATGGTGTGGAGAGTGCTTTTCTAGACTGCAGAGGCTGTCAGGCAAATATTATTTATTTTATTTTGAATTTTGTCAGCCATCAAATTTCAATAGAAGCAGTTCACATTTTTAAACAGCTATAAAGTTGTAGAGACTTTAATTTTTGATCTTCAGAGACTTGAAAATGCTGTTCATTACCTCAAATTAAAATACATTTGCAAGCCTGAAACAGCAATCTTCAAAGCTAGTTTATGACTTAGAAGTTCACATCTCATTTCTGAATTCAACCCAGTAGACTCCTAAACAACAAAACCAACTAATTCAAAAGAGCTATTCCATACTATCAGTTTCATACTGGGTAGTTATAAGAAAGCTGCTCACAGCAGGATAGTGGTACCCTCTGTCTGTTGAAACACACTCTAGTTTCTGTATGAAAGTATTTTACATGAAAGAGAACCACCCTTTCAAAAACTCACTCAAAATCCAGTCAGCTTGTACTGCTGTTAACTTCTTCAGTCTCCAACTCCAAAATAGCTATGATTTAAAAATTAAATTAATCTATAAATATTGTTTCCTTTATTAGTTAGTGAACATAAATTTGCAATCTACGATTGGTAATGTCTGAATTAATTTTACAGATGTCACTGGCCATATGTTTTACTAGCTTCCCTAATTAATATTTACCATCAAAGCACTAAACATACAATATTTCAAAATTTTCTAATTTTATTATTTCCCTAACTATACGTGAGATTCTTGTGATTACTATGTTTCAGGTTGAAGAGCATAGATGACCTGTTTTCATACTCTCTATTACAATGTATTCCTTTTTCATTTTTAAATCCATTAATTTTTTCAGGACGCTCTAAGAGAAACCTGGATTTCAGCCCAACGTCTCTAGTAATATGCATATGAGAAGGTATGTACATGACCAGGTTTATATTTACATTATGTTTTTACAGTGGTTTATATAAAATACAGAAAATCACACTAATACAAGGGCCAGACATTCAATAAGTCCCAAAATCTGGCACATTTTGTGGTGATGTACCCCCCACCCTGGCAACAGGATGATCTCAGATTCTGTAAGTGACCTGAAAACACTCATTCATTACACTTATCTACCAAATGTAAGTGTCAGATAGGAATCTCTCTATCTGGGCTTAGCTTAAGCTTAAATTAGTTTAAGATGACAAAGAAGAAACATTATCAAAATTAGAGCTGAAATACTATTTCCTGCCTTGTTCTTCCATGGGTTTTGTATAGAAAAAACTTAATCCAAAGAAAAACTAACTGTGTTAAACACCAAATCGCTGGGACAAGGACATACTTATTGGAATAAATGACATGGTTACATATTACCTCAATATAAATGATGTACTAAAAAGAAATAAAGAAGATATTTACAGGAATCTTTTTTGGATATAAACAGCAGTAGTACTTCAGAGGACACTAGTTGTCCGAAAACTTACTTGTATGAGGATTTAAGACTCAGACTTTGAAACTGTATGATTTCTCACAAATATCCAATGTAAACAGGAGAAAATGCTTCTGGTGCACTGAATTATCTTTACTTCCTGATCTGCAGGTATTAGTGGGCATTACATGCTTGTTGCACTTAGGAAGGTGTGGAAGGAATGAGAGGGAAGGTATGGAGTCTGTGGATCTGGCTTCAAGCAGAGTAACTAACTGTGCTAGCAAGCACCCACTGATTTTTAACATCCCCCACATCTGCAGTTTCATTTTTCACTTGAGACTCTCTCAATTTCTCTGGCGTTTCCAGCTGCTGCATTAGTCTGTGCCATTATAATGCCTGCAGGATCTAAGAAATAATCTATGACAACATTCTCTAGGCTGCTGTGTTTTGCTAACCCAAGGGGAAACACTGACAACACAGTACAGCACTCTCAGGGTTGTTTTGCTCTGCAGGGGAAGGCTGCAATGATTTTAAGGGCAGAAATATTTCTAGAAACTTTGTAAGCACTCTTCAAAGAGGTGGAGTGACTGTGATCATTGCTCTGACTTTTACCTTGGGAAAGAGGACTTAAATGCTGTGCTACTGCCTGCATATATTTTAGGAATGTGTGGAATGTGTATTATTACCCTTATTCCTCACCAGTGTGTGTAACGGTGTTGATCACTGACACCAGCCATACAAAATGTGACAAACCTACCCTCTGCCTTGGAAGAGCTAGCTGAAATAAAGCACAAATCCAAAGGATTCATAATATGAAATGTTGCAGAGGCATACTCTGTTCTAGAGGGAACAGTTTTAGAAGGGGAGTAGTTTTAAATTAAACACTCAGAAAATATAATTTCTATCCTGCATCCAGTATTAGACATAAACTATGAAATGCCACATAAATTTAGCTATGCTTCTTTTCTATAGGTTACTACTTCTATGGGTTAAAGCTTGGATCAAATTAATATAATGAATTCATATGGTAAAAACCATACAGTTACACTAAGTTTAAACATGCACTATCTTCCACCATTTTGTCCAATGTTTTTCAGAACACTCATCAATGTTCACCCTAAACTCTGCTAGTGTTTTATAGTCATTGTAGTACTCGCCTAACTATAGCCAAAAATACATGCCAAAAGAGGGACCAGAAGACACAACAGGACATAAATGTAGAACTGGGAGAGCATGCTGGGAGAAGTTTAATTTCCTATGGTATCAGTCAAGGACTTCTTGAAATATGTGGTGCCATTACATGAATTTTTCTACTGTGAATTTAGCCAATCCATAAATTAATAATTTTTTGAACCTATGCAAACTTGCAGCACTCAATGTTGTATTGAAAACATTTTTACAGCTTCTGAATGTCATGCTATGTTTGCTTGCATTTAACTTGCCATCTGTTCAATTTGCTACTTCTTGGAGAATACAAGACCATGATTAATTGCTTTCTTCCACCTCACTCATGGTTGTATGGACTTCAGTTGTAGCTACTTAGCTGTTCCTTAGCTGTTCCAACAGAAGTTGTTTCCTCCCTTGACCATCCTTGTTGACTCTCTGTAATTTCATCATTCACTTTGAAAGGGAAACCAGAAATGAACTGTTTATGGTACAGACATAATAATATTTAGACCTTAAGGCAATGATACGTTTTGTTCCAAGTATTTTTCTTAGCAATTCCTGTCTTATTTGCTTTTTGACATCTGCTGGTCCTGTGATGTTTTTGCTTTGTATGTGGAGTACCAAATTCCCAACATTTCCTAACAAAGAGCTAAGCTTTGTAAATATAAATATTAGGATCATCCTTTCCTCATCTGCACAAGGCTATTTACTGACATTTAGTTTTAAAAAACCAAAATAACAGAACCAACAACTAATTCTTACATGTGAGGAGGGCCTCTGCACCCTGTTAAAACATTCAATTTTTACAACTCTGAATAACCTGGTGTATCAAAACAATAGTCTCTATCAACCATAAAGAGCTAAGGAGCAGAGATCCCTCCTGGCAGTCACTCACAACCTTCCCTCATTGATATGATATACATTGACTGACTTGGATGGGAAGGGGGCTCCAGAAGGTGTCTACTCCAACCTCCTGTTCACATGCCAGAGTTGAGTAGTCAGGGTCTTGACCAGTTAGATTTAGAATACCTCCAACTGTGCAGGTTGGGTGGGTTTGTTTTACTTGGTTGAGTTTTTAGTGCCTCCAACAACCTCTCCAGGGCCCTATTCCAGTTGATGATCTCCATAATGCTTTAAAAACCAAACATGCTCCCAAAAAAACCTAATAAAAACTCCACAACATCTAACTTATTTATGTATCTTGTTGGAATTTTCCATGTTCCAATTTCTCACTGTTGAATCTCATTCTTCTATCCTGTTTCTTGTCTTTAAATCATGTGGGAGAATCCCACTACCTTATGGCAGTGCATATATACTTGTACTGTTTGAGAGACCATCATATAGAGAACAGAATCTGGCTTTCCTTTGCCAAAACTAGAACAAGAATGTCCTACATGAAGAAATAAGCCAGTGCCTTTTCCCCATGGCCCAACCACTCTAAGTAGTGGCAATTGCCCCTTCCACCTGTTACAAGCATCTTTTGGCTACAAGTTCTGTGCATACTGCAAAGCAGCTGATGCTGAGGGACAGAAAGTACATCCAAGTCTGTAAAAGCATGGCTAGGATGTGAGAATTCTAAATTAAGTTTTAAGTAAATGCTATTTTACTACACCAACCATAACTATTACTCCAAATAATAGAATTTCTAATGTGACTTATTGAAGTATTTAGAGGGCGCTAGGAAAATGTTACCTCAAATTCTATGTTTAATGTTGCAGTATTGATCAATAAAGAAACAGTTTACACTGTGTAATTCAGAGATATAATTAGTCATTGAACAAATTCTGTAACAAATTTATATCAAAGGCAGGGGCATACTTACTCACACATATGTGAATGCTGCTCATACCTGTTTTTCAGCTTGTTTCAAGAGTTTCTGGAAACGTTCATCCTCTAGCACACACAGAGGAAGTTCTGCCTCTCCTCTACTTTTCATTTCCTCAAGCTTCTGTTTAAGGTCCCGCAAGGCCCGGAGCTCATCGTTCAGACGATTCTGTCTTGTGCGTGACACCTGGAGGTCCAGCTCCAAGTCCAGGGAAGTGCGCATGGGGCACTCTTGCGCAGCTCTTCGCATGATGGGCTGGCAAACAGGCTGAGTCGTTTGGGAA